TTAGTTGAGGACATTGGAGATGATACAGTAGAATGAAGTGAAACCTGTTTTGGATAAACTGTATCCTAAGTGCTTGGCGATAGTGGTAGGAGCCTATTGAATGTGCCTTGTAAGTGCAAGTAGAAAATTGTAATCACTTAGTGTATACCAAAGAGAAAAACATTAATTTAATCAAAACCAATGATGTATAAAAAAAGGGATGAAACTATGAATGGAATTTGGGTATATGTAAATACTTGTATACATAAATCCTAAATCTAAAAGGATTCAGTGAATAAGCCACACAGGAAGAGTTGAGGAGGTGGAGAAAAGAGGCAGAGCGAATTGAACTGTAGAGAACATTCTAAAGGAATAAGCACTCTGCAACTCTAACATATCTTGAAAATTTTTATTTCATTCTGATCAATTCTATTTTTATTTCTTGGAATGAGATGATTCATTCTGACCACTTCATTTCTACATGGGGCATAAAATAATAAGAGCAACCAACCTGCTGGGAACTCAAAGCCAGATGGTGTATATGTGTGTCATGCTGAGTTGATGGTTTAGAAATGCCAACTCTGCACAATGACTGGAGCCAAATAATACTTCAAGGTAATCCTGCTTACGATCCACTTGTGCATCTCCACATACATTTTAAAGTTAGCTTAATGAATTTTAAATTGAAGTGGGCATTGATATGTCTACAGGTAATAAAAAAAGCACAAGTAAAATGTCTCCAATGCAGTTTCTTAACTGTCAGCTCAGATCAAACTCTAATCAAAGTGGCAGAAATCTATAGTGGTTTAACAGCATTGGTACACTTCTCCTTAAACATCAAAAGTAGTCCATCCATTCTCCAGGGTTCGATAGAATATTTTGTAATTTTTAGAGATTATCTTTTGGTAATGAATTGAAGACAAACACTTTTTTTCTTTCCAGTGCTGGGGAATGAAGCCAGGGCCTTGTACCTACTCAGCAAGCATTCTTAACACTGAGCCACAATCTCAGCCTGATAACATGAGTTAAAGAAACAACAACACATCTCTCGAAGTCCTTTTCTCTTCATATTAAGACACTGGATAATTCTGTGGCTCCTTTCTCTGGCCTCCAGGTTTTCATTAAGGGAAGTCTTCTGTAGCAGTTCCTGTGACATAGAGGCCACACTGTATTCTGAAGCAGGGGAAAGCTAGCAGAGATGATGTGTTAGCTTTCCGTGGTTGTGACATAGTACCCAAGCCAAACAACCTAAAAGAGGGAAGATTTCTTTGGACTGTGACCTGAGTCCAAAGAACATGCACCAATGATGTGCCTTCCCCAGCTATTCCCCATCTTCTAATGTTTCCACCACTCTCAGTCATGTCACCAACTGGGGCTCAAGTCTTTTAACCATAAACTTTTAGGGACATTTCAGAGCAATCCATAACAGAGGCCTCAGACAATAACAGAGCAACCATGAGTTAACTGTGAGGGGACCCAGTGTGTCAGATGACACAATGGATAAAAAGATGATATAATAAGACTTCATTTGTACCTGTGATTAACCATACAAAATTGGCAAAATTTGTTTAGACTATTACATATGTATTTGTACAAATCTTTTATTTTTCTTTTCTCCTACAATGAGATTCTGCTTCTCCTTTTTGTTTTTCATTTTAAAATTCCCTCATGTCTTCGTTACAGTCTTATCACTGGAGACAAAATACCCGACACAAAAACACTTAAAGGAGTGGAAGTTTATTTTGGCACAGTTGAGATTTACTTTGGCTCACAGGGAGTTGGCAGAGTAACGGTGGTGTAAAAGGTGTTCAACCTCGTGGCAGCGGGAATGCAGAGAGCGAAGGGAGATGCTGCGGAGGAAGGAGATATTCTCTTCCGGGTCACGTCCCCGGTGGCCCGCCTCTTCCGGCCAGGCCCCACCTCTGACAGCGCGCTCAGCAGAGAACTGTGTGAGTACAGCCTCCCCGCGACCACCTCCTCCAAAAGGGTCACCTCTGAACACATGATGCTTTGGGGAAACATTCTAGATCTAAACCATAATACATATTTCTAATCCATTCCTTTTAAATGTTCTTAAAAATATCTGCTGCACCAATATTATTTATATTAGTTATCTGAGAAAATGTTGGGTAATTTGTCTTCATAGTAACAGTTTCTTCTGTTTTGCAAGTCTGATATAGAGATATGAACCTAATTAAGATTATTATGCCTTCTCGATGAATTGGCCTTTTTATACGTATGAAATGTTCTTGTTTTGTTGGTATTACAGGTTTAATATCCTTACCCAAATTGTTTGAGACCAGGAGCATTTGAGATTTTTCAGATTTTTGAATATTCTTCTATAGATAATGAGCCCAAGTCTAAACACAAAATTCACTTACGTTTTATGTACATTTTATATATGTGGTGTGCAGGCAATTTTATGCAATATATTTAATAACTGGTACTCAAAACATGCTTTACATGTTGTAGCTGAAGGGGTTGAGAGGATCTTTGCTCTCAGGAGTGGTGAAGAAGCTGAGTGTCGTACACCTGTGTTTTGACTTTGACTTGTCATAAAGTCAATTGTGTAATTTTCTAAAGTGTGACATCATATTACTGCTCAAAATGTTTTGTATATTTGAGCATTTCAGATTTGAAATTTTCAGATTGGTGATGCTCAGCCTATAATATTAACAGCCACAAGAGTATTCATTTAAGTACCTAAAAAAGTTCTAAATAATTAGAATGAAGTTCTGGTTGTTTTTTGGTGGGAGGCAACTCTGGTAGGATTCTAATGAATTTGTCCTGTTAACAAACATAAAACTTTAATCACTTAGTGCATTTCACTAAGTGTCTTCTATTTTAAAACACAATTAAAGTTCTTGTGTCTTTTTCCCAATCTCATTTTCTTCTCTGGAGGCACCTGAACTCAGTGCTGTTTATCTTCATGTATTATTTTTTTTTTACATTCTAATTCATAAACCGTCATCTGTATATTTATCTTCTGATTTTAAAATTTATTTCAGCAGGGTCAAAATGCCATTCTTTTGTTTCTGTTTTAATTTGTTTTCATTGTGAAAGTGAAAAATTGGTATGATTAGAATTCCATTATGTGACTAAAGCTTATCTCATTCATCCGGTCTGCTATCAAGAAATATACGATTGCTTCAACATTTTTGAAGCAGTGAATGCTGATATTACCTTTCAGTAGATGTGGCCAGTGCACTGCATTAGGGCTTCTGGAGGATTTCCCTTCGTCCTTTAGCTACTAGGCAAAGAGAGTGTAGTAGCATGTGTAATGCACCAGATTGCATTGGTGGTTCTCCAGAGTGCTTGTCCAGATTTCTGTTCCCACCATAAATAAGCTTTCTGTTTGTTCCACGTCTTCACAGAACTTGGTATGGGCAAAATTTAATTGTAAATCATTATAATTGATTAGAAAGGCCATCTCATTGTGGTCTTATTTTTAATTTCCCTGATTATTGGGCATACAGTAATCCAGATTGCCATGGAGATTATTATTCCTCAGTGGTCACTGTAATGTCTCACACTCTATTAGGGTTGACAGAGAGATTTAAGCATGTGAAGACTTGATATGATGTAGAAAATTTTCTAAAAGTGAAATTACTTTCTAAGTCACTTAAATTATTTGTAGTCCTGCAAAAGTGGTGCTTGTTAGCATTTCTGTGTTTTCAGTAGTGACATTGTTAGTTTCTCTTACTCTGGTTTTTCTGGTTGTAGAAATAATGACAAGAAACTATAAGTCATTGAATTAAAGACAAGCTAATTTCGAAAGAAAAGCGGAACATTAAATTGAGTTAAGTTTGACTATTAAGAGCAGGATTTGGGGAGCTTCAAAAAAACTAAAATAATACCAGGGTTATTCCAGGGGTGGGACTAGATAGTTATTTAGGACTTTTTGTCCCTTTATTCTGTACCTGAGGGAGGAACCATTCACAAAACTTTTCCAGACTCTGTCCACACCAACATGGAATTTTTTTCAGAAAGAATGTTTTATAAAGGGACAATGAGTGAATTGAATCTTTCACAACCAGTTATCAGTCAATTATACCCAGAAGAAGAAGCCAGACCCCCTCCCCCAGTCTGCCCTTGATAAATAGGTAAGACTTTGACCTCAGGGAAGCTACTTTTTTCTACAATTTGGATTATTGTTTGCCTGGCTATATTAACAGTATACTGCCTGTCTCTCTACTCATAGCTCTGAATCACTGATGACTTTATCTCTGCTTTAGAAATTTTGTAAATGATTGGTTTGTAGTGTTTCAGGGTTTTATTCCTGTGGCGATTCAAGTAAAACATGAATGATGTGATTCCTTTTGTAATTGATTTGGGAAGGTACAACTGGTAGCTCTTTGGGAAACTGCCTGAATATCTATGTTTATATTACTTTGGAGAGAGTCTACTTCATAAATCTGAAAAATCTGAGGAAGAGATGATTTAGTTCAACTTTGAAAACTGTTCTGTGTTGGAGTCTGGATTATTGTGTTCGGTTGATGTCTTTATGATTCAAGGAGCAGCTGTCTATCACTTCCTTGAGTGGAAAAATGTGTAAGATGAAGAGATTAAAGAGGTTTCTTTCTTCATATTTAGACTGAATTCTCTCCTTTATTATTCAGACTATGCTCCTCCTTTGTTTTCACTCCTTACCTGCTTGCATGCTCGTGCTAGTTAGTATAGCAGGACCACAGATGTGATGCTTTAAAATGATGCCTGCATCAGTTTGCTAATTGATACTGCTTTCTTTTGGGATTCTTTTAGGTGTAGCTATGCACACATGTTTTGTGCGTGTCCTGAGGGGAATGAGGAATGGATGTAAGCAGTGCTTTTCAGATGAATTTAAACACCTGTCAGAAGTTGTAAATATTTTATTGTTTCCTTCTTTGACAACTGGCTCTTCAAAGGGACTTCTGATCTTATCTCGCCATGTATCCTATTGCCGATATGCAGATTGTGTCTCTGTGTCACATCTTGGGTCTCCTTAGCATTACTGACCAATTCCGGCGGGTGTCTCCCTACAGGTCATTCAGGCTGTCTTTTTCGGCATCTGTGTGCTGACTGACCTTTCCAGTCTTCTGACCAGAGGAAGCGGAAACCAAGAACAAGAGAGGCAGCTCAAGAAGCTCATCTCGCTCCGGGACTGGATGTTAGCCGTGCTGGCCTTTCCTGTTGGGGTTGTGAGTATGATACACAGTGTACTGAGCTGCAGAAGAAGCATGGGTCTTACTACCTACTTGTAAGAGAAAGGGACTTACTACAAGAGATTTTTTTGCTTTTAGTGGTGCTGGTGATTGAACACAGGCCCTTGCACATGCTGAGTATACATTCAGTCCTGAGCTATACCTGCAGCCTTGTGATTCCTGCATTAGTTCACTAGGGCTGCCCCTAATACAGTGTGGCCTCCCACCTGAGAGACTGGAAGTCTGAGGTCAGAGTGATGGCAGGATTGGTTTGTTTTATGGCTGCTCTCTCTGGCTTCTGGACAGCCACACCCTCAGTGTCTTTTTACATAGGGAAATATCTCACATTTTTTGCTCCCTGTCCTGCGGTGTGTTCTTTTTTGGTAAACAGATCAATCATACTGGATCGGGGCTTCCTAGTAGTCTTGATTAACTTAAATCACATTGTTAGGCCCAGTCTCCTAATATTGTCACATTCTGAGGCTCTGGGATTAGGAATTTAACCCAAGAATGTCACTGGGAATGTAGTTCAATCCATCAGGTTCCCAAGCAACCCACACTTGTTCTTTGGGTCAGCTCACTGTTTTTGAATTGGAGAAAAGGAAGGAAGCTTTGACTCACCCTCTTCACTTACTTCCCTGCAGCGCTGGCTAGTCTGACTTAAGTAAGTGCCGCTTCATGTTTGAGTCTGTTCTGGTTTCATTGATTTTCTTTGTTTCAGTTAAATTCCCTCCGCTGCTCACTTTTCTTCACGAGTTTGTTAATTTTCCAGTGTCTGCACATAAACCACGTTACTGTAATACTCTATAGATCACCCATAATACTCTATAGATTTCCACTTGTGCATTGCCAGAAGAATGAGAGACTTCGTGTGTATCTCCAACTGTGATGACAAGCAAGAATGTGTGACCTAATTCAGATTCAGACTTTTCTCTTGCTAGCTTATTTCTGGGAAAAACAGAAGCCCCACTGATGTGGCGTGCACACATACCAAATCTAAGTTTCATTGTCGGAAGTCGGAAGGTTGTTCTGTAAATCCTTGCAGTGGCTGTTCATTCATATTTGCCAAGTCTGTCGTGGGCAGAAACCTACACATGTTTGGCACTGAAGTGGTGTTCTTGGAGGAAGTAGCACTTAGCTCTTGGAAGTAGCACCAGGGCACAGGAACTTTATAACCCAGTTACACCACATCTGATTCCTTCATTTTATTGACTGAAAAACCTGAATTAATGGGTTCTCAGATGGAAGTGATGGAGCAAATGTCTCAAATTCTGTTATTACATAACAGAGGTAAATGCTTTATATGTCATTTAATATTTTTTTTCTTTGGACTTAACTCACAAAACTCATATACTTTCTATCCGAGGAAATTCCCATTGGCATAAAGCATAAATATATATACACTTTTTGTGCAAAATCAAAGTCCGTGTATGTGGCATTGTTGTTAAATCTCTTGGCTCCTGGAGTTTCTCCAGGTGCATCACTGCCCCTGAAGTCTTTGCAGGGTGGAAAGAACACAGTGGTAATGCGGTGAGAAAGGAAGCAGCAGTGAATGTTTTCTCTTAGATCTGCCTCTCCTGTCTTGTGGCATGGACTCTCCACAGAATATGCCAGCTTATAACATTGCCCGTCTCTCAAAGGTTTGTTGCAGGTACCCTTTGGATCCTCTGGACGCTGCTTTGGAGAAATTTTTCTCCACCTTGTTTGTAGTCAAGACTTGCCTTTATCATCTTCCTAAATGTGTGTATGTGTGTGTTTTGTGGCCAAAAGGCAAGTTTAGGACTTCTTAGTTTGCTTGTCTTGTTGTATCTGATACTTTTCTCTGCGTTTCCCTGTTTTTGTTGTATTGTCCGTGTTTTGCTTTGGAAGCGGAGAGTGTTCATCCCTGCTGCTCCTTTCCTTACCAGAAGCCTCAGCTTGCACTTGCATTTTCTTGGCACATGAGCGCACCTTCCTACCTGCTGTGTTCCCGCGTAGGACACTGGCCTTGGCCTTGTACCCGAGCGCCTCCTGTGCGTCCCCTGCACAAGAGGTCATCCGTGTTCTGGAGGTTCCTAGAAGACATGAAAGGATCAGTGGGAGATGTGCAACTTCACTAACTGTTTTAACTTTTTTCCTTGACCTTATTTATCTATTTATGTCTTTCTCGAGGCAGGGCCTTGCTATCCAGTTCAGGGTAGCTTTGAACTTACTGTGGAGCCCAGGCTGGCAGTAAACTCCCAGTGATCCTCCTGCCTCAGCTTTCTGAGTGCTGGAATTACAGGAATGCACCACCATGTCTGGCTCCTTGGCCACTCTTTTTATCTGATATAATTTTCCCTGGTAATTGTGAGTCACTTTCCCCTTTACAATCGTTAGCCTATTATTTTTCGTAAACTTTTTAAGATTTGGTTCATTTCATTCTCTTCTGATTCTGCCCTTCCCTACCCACCCACTTTCCTTCCCACCCTCCCTTCTCTGTCTCTGTCTCTTATTAAGAAAAATTCTTGGTCAGTTTTCTGTTGAAATCATGTTTCACTGTTTCTCTTGTTTGTACCTTACTCTGTTATTTGACTTTGTATCTATTTGCCCAGTTACCAAAAGGTTTCTCATTTATTTTGAGACCGAAAACCCTGATTTTATCTGGGATTTGTATTTCTTCTAAGATCCCATTAACTTTATTGCAAAGTCATATTAACAGGGAGGCTGCATTTTTTACTGAAGCGTTGCGTTTTGTCATTTTCACCTTCTGTTCCTAAGGTTGTTCCCCACCCGTCCTCCCCAGTGGTTCTGTGTCTTTGCTGTGACTCTGGAGACTTCCCCCAACCTCTCTCTTTCTCTAGGCCTCCTACTAAACAGAAGGTTTTAGAATCCTACTGTTGTTTTATTCTTCCTTGGGAAAATATCAACTTCCTAGAGCAGAGCTGTGAGGAGTCACTGGAAGAGGCCTCATCCTCTGTCCTACAGCTCCTGGACCAAAAGGGAGGCACCTAATCTGACCACTCACGCCTGCACAGGATGGGACAGCATCAGTGCCCAGCAGGCCACAGACCCAGCTATACCTGAGTAATTGTGGTCTGGGAGCTTTATCATGGAGGACAGGGATCCAGGATAGTGTGTGAAGTGGGTGACACAGTCATAATCCTACAGCACAAAGCTCCCGACCTGGCTTCCTGAGGCAGGAGAGCACCCGTCCTGACTCCAGCACCCTGACATGAAAGGTGCCGGGCTTCGGGTCCGGGTCCTCAGAGGTCTCCATGCTCTGCGGCCCTGACTGAAGTGGCTGCTTGACCACCTGGAGTGCTTCCTGCTGCTCTCTGTGGCTTCCTACATCTCATGCTTTTTGATTGTCAGTTTGTTCCTGGGAAAACAGAGTCACTTTTGCTTCCTGATGCAGGGAGAAAGGAAAGGGGCATGAGAAGCGTGCAGGTGAATTTATCACCTCTTCTCACATTTTCCTAAAGCGGCTCTTTGACTTGACCTTTTACTGGCTTGTTGGCTCTGTCTGCATCTTTCTCCCTCTCCCTCTTTCTCCTTTCCTCCCCTTCCCTTCAGTTGCTAGAAAGCCATGGGTAGATTATTTAGGATTTGTGTTTTCAACACTAATGTTTCCTCCAGTATGGAGGTTAATTGAAAGTTGGCAGTAATTGCTTTGTGTGAACATGAAATACTAAATATGATTTGGTGATCTTTATACCTAACATATCTACTTCACAAATAGTTTTATCTCAAGGATATATAAAAATAATGAGGCATCCCAATCAAAGATAATTGGACTAAACTTTTGTTTCAGCATGACCTTGAAGGAATCAGGCAGGGTTGCTTGAGTGAACATAACGTGTATCTTCCTGATTGGTGCCGATTCCCATAAATGCAAAGCTGGCCTTGATTAGTAGCACTAATGGCCGGAAACCACCAGCAGTCCCAGAGCCTTGCAGCTCATTCACAGGGATAACCCACGGGAGGCTTTCTTACCATGTGCACTTTATTTGTGAACCCTGTCACCCTTTTAAAGAAGCATTACAAATAATTCTATGACATGCTGTGGTCTGGAAGCACTGAAGTTTATTAGGAGCAATCAAACCAAGAATGCCTTTTGTCTCCTGTGAGTTTTGTTGATTCTTGCACTGGTAGATACCATTTCATTTAAGAGAGCAGGCTTATGCTGTTAAACAAACAACTAAACAAAAAGATCACGGTGAATGTAGAACCCTAATATAAGTCTCTAACATCTCTCAAAGGCAGCTCCTTTAATGAAAAAGCAGGGTGTGCTCTTTCCTTTAATGTGGTAACCTGGGGTGGGCTCCCAGAGTTACTGGGGCAGACCAGCAAGCATCTGGATGAACTATTCTAGAATTTGTTCTTCTTCCCTGAGTTTAGGCTCAAGGCTGTCTGTTAAGTGACCATTTCAGGTGTGATAATCTTGCTTTGTGGAGCCTCGATGAAGATTTTATATGTACTAAACTATTCCCCAATCCTCTACAGTTTGTCTGTACTTTGGTGGGGACAGCATGGTAACTGCTTCCTTAGGAAACATGGAAAATGGAATTTAAGATCTCAAATGCAAACTCTAAAATGAAGTTTGTTGCAGTTATTTTCAAAAAGTAACTTCCCAATGTCTTTAAATTTTGATATGCTAGGAAACTATAAACTATCTTGAAATATATATATATATATATTTAGATTGTCATACCACAGCAATTCAAAAACCGTAAAAAAATTGTTTTTAAGACAAGGTCTTTCTATGTAGTCCAGGCTTGTCTTGAACTCAGTGTACCCCAGGCTAGCCCTGAATTCATAGTGGTCCTCTTACCCCAGCCTCCTGAGTACTGGGGTTACATGTGTATACCACCATGCCCTGCCTCAAAACACATTATTGCTAACTCTGATTTTTTTAAAAATATAAGAGGTTGCCTTATATTGAAAACAAGCATGTTAATAATAATTGCTAATATTAATGTCTATTATTATAACATATAAAGGAAGATAAACTGAGATTGTAAATAAAAGTAAATGAC